GATCTACATTGTTAACTGAAATGATAACCTGACTACATTTGTTATACAATTTTACTGACATGTAATATACAAGTTCATTTTGCAATAAAAACGGAGCCTGAATTAATAGTTTGTCGGACAAAATATACAGAAATTTTATTATTTTTAATAAAAAAGAAAAGAAAAGTAATCTGCCTACGGAAACCAAACGGAAATTAATCAATGACTGATATTTAAATTGAAATCAATAAACGATTTGAAGCTACCTGAAGTAAGAAATTAAATTTGTGTTTAATATAATACATGTAAAAATATTTAAACGCAAGAAACATATTGTAATGAATGACAAATATATTTAAAATCATATGATTAAGTCTGCGAATAAAATGTATTACACATACATGTACACCATGATATCGGCATTCTATCTCTATACAACTGGTTAAATAAATACAAAATTATTTATTAACATAATCATAACTGTCACAGTATATCTATATCAGTTTATATATTAATACTGCTATTTACTAAATTCTAATTTAAACAACTGTTAAAGTAGTTGTGAGAGATTAAGATGTAATTAATATGGTTTTAATAATAAAACCGTTCGAGAGACTCCGAATAGAAAATCCAAACCGAGGCCAAAACAATCCTCACTTTGTTTTAAACTGCACAGACAAATCTCTCTTTCAAATAAAAAAAATCCATTATATCATGGTCTGGTCACTTCCAGTCTACATTCTCTTACAATAAAATCACCGGGTAGGATAGTTCGTATAGCAAGTACTTAGAACGTAAATTTCACGGCCTGCTCTAAAACTAAATGGCTTCCGAAAAAACAAAATCCATCTTTTACTGACTTTTTTTGTTACACTGTTTATTGCTACACCTTCAAACAACTCCATACTTACTATATAAACAGCAATGTCAATCGAACAAAAAGACGTAAAATATATATCAAATTTGACTTTTAATGTATTCCAAAGATTCACTTGAAAACACTATACATGTGATAACATATACAGTATATTGGACCTTTGTTTGGTACAGTGTATATGTTTGGTACAGACCCTGAGACGTGCTACTACCCCATAAAAGCGTGTGACTTTCGTGCGCTTTCCTTTTCGTGCAAACCGTGTAGCGTTTCGTGTAAACCGTGCAGCGTTTCGTGCAAACCGTGTAGCATTTCCTGTAAACCCTGCAGCCTTTCGTGTAAGCTCCAAAGCGTTTCGTGCAAACCGTGTAGCGAGCGTGCAAAAAGCGTGTGAGAAACGTGCGACTTTCGTGTAAAAACCGTGTGAGAAACGTGTGACTTTCGTGTAAGAATCGTGTAAGATTCATTCGGAAGTCATTTCATTTTAAATATGGCTATCGATGGGTCAGGATGTAAAATTATATTATTATTTTATTATTGAATTAGTTAAAGCCATATATGGCGTATGTACAATGAAAATTATTAGACTAAAATTATAAGAACTTATTATTTGTATCATTACTTTATATAAAGATAGAACTTTTCCGTAAATTACAAAATCTAAGTCAACTGCGTTATAAAGATATCACAATTTTATTTGGATTTTCGGAATTTTCTCCTACTCGGAAGAATATACAAAAGATTTAAATAACACATTACAGTGAAGATAAAATTGTATTATTAGATGAAACGAGGTGTTCTCCGTGTTCAGAATTGTATGAAAAGCTTTAATTTAAATGTATTAACTATATTTCTTAACTTAATTTTGTATTTTTCAAAAATATATTTTTGGATCAGTTACGCCATATATGGCTTTAAGCTTGTGATATTATAGGAGTAAAAACAAAAACAAAAAACAAAATGAAAATAAACGGCAATGTATAATTTATATTTGTTTTGTTTCTTTTCCTTCTACAGAAAATATGTTCAATACTACCACGGTTATTGAAACTTCAAAGGAAGCCGCCTGGACATTATTCTCCAATAGACCACGAATGTCATCAGAAAATTATCAGATCAGAAACACGTATCAAATCTGAACAATTCAAATGCATGTTTGACTGTAGCATGAAATACTTGATTAGACCTCATCGATGTGTCGTCTTTTGCAGTATAAACACTGTAAATTGCATCAAGTTGCTGATGAATGTCGGTTTTTATAGCTAAGCGGGGCTATTCCACGGACCTCCCTACACATTAAACAACGTGATTTTAGCAGTAAAACAAGAACACGAATTTGTTTTTGTATATTCATTTTAACTAATCAATACATATTACGAACAGATTTGTAATTAAACAAGACTATTTTTAATGCAACGAAAGCTCAAATCATCTGCATTCCATATATAGGTAAGTCAACAAAATTTCTCTCTGGTGTTAAATAGAACAGCGTAATCGAGTCATGGTGGCCTAATTCGTTTCTCTATATAGAGGAAACGATCGGTCGTATTTATCGCCCTTGCTAGAATAGAAATAAAGTCCTTGTTGTCGTGAATGATGCAGAATAACCTCCTCGGTCTCGAAATGTTGTTTGAAATATAAAAGCCTCGGCTAACGCCTCGGCTTTTATATTTCAAACAACATTTCTCGACGCAAAAATATATCAGGACTCCGCTCTTCTCTTTAAATTTGAAACGATGTGTCATTTGATACTTTTTAATACATAAAACTTGTTGCTCATTATTTTCAAATAGATGGATTTTATAATTTTAATACACATGCACTGATGATCACATCTTTATAAACGAAGGGGGGGGGGTAAATTAAATTACTAGTACAGTCTTTCATTTTTTGTTGTAACTTTCAATCTAATGTTAGTTTCAGCTAATGCTTAATTTTTCTATTTTTTTTAAATCCTTTGTGAAATGTGTGCGCAGATACAAACCTTCAAAATGTATTGGATTTTTCTTTCCTCATGTCAACTGTGATCAAGGTCATTTCAATGTTCAGCGATCACGGGCTCCGAGTGCATGGCACCTGAAAACCTGTTTTGCTATATGTACATGCTGAGTTCACGGCTTAATGACACCTGAAAATTACGACTGGATTTTATTATTTTTTTTTTTAATAAAATGGTTCTATAAATATTTGATGGGTACAACTTATAAATTAGCGGATTTCATCTTTTATTTGTAAATCCGAATTTCTAGCCGTAAACATTAATAAATAAACAGAACTGATTTGATAGTCTTTTTAAGAATATCATGTAAGAAAAGCTTAGGAGTAAATCATGAATAATTGTATATCATTTGTTTTATAAATCAGGTACTTTTTATTTCATCTAAGATATTTCAGTTTTCTTGTAATATACCTGAATGCCGGTGTAAAGATCGATCTATATTGTATGTACAATGTATAGTCAAATACCGCGACTATTAATTTAATAAATGTTCACATATATACATACGTTTAGTCTTGTTTTGAAATGAAGGATTTTACAGAATGATGGGTATACTGATTTTATTTAATAAGCTTCATGTAAAAAGAGAAAGAGAATAGAATAGATTAATAGATCACATTAACCCCCCCCCTTTTACCGGTTTCTCTCTTATTGATAATGCTTGCGTAAAATAAAAAAAAAATGTATCAATAATCGTTAGTAGAGTATATAGGCAAATTTGATATCTAATTTAAAATCAAAATCGCGAAAAATAATCCGCCTACGGAAATCAAACACATTATAATCAATATTATTAAAAATCAATGAGTTTATATTCCCGCGGTAAGAAATCTAATTTTTGTTTGATTTATTCAATTATATTCGTAAAAATATTACATTGAAATGAATGACTAATACCTGTATAAAAATTGTATTTTATTAAACAGTCATTCATGATATCGGCATTTCGTTTTTAAACAGTTGGTTAAATAAATAGATAAATTCGAACTGACAATTATTTATCAATTGATTACAACTGTCGGAGTATTAAATATTTCTATCGGTTTATATAATACAAGTGTACTGAAATCTAATTTAAACAACTCCTTAATGTGGCTTTGTGAAAGATTTCCATTGAATTAATGATAAAACGGCAATAATACCCGAGATATTCCGAGTAGAAAAATCCAAACCGAAGCCAAAACGTGCGAAAATCGTGCACAAAGCGTGTGAGAAACGTGTACAAAGCGTTTCGTGCAGCCTTTTGTGTAAATCATGCAGCCTTTCGTGCAAAGCGTTTCGTGTAAACCGTGTAGCGTTTCGTGCAAACCGTGTAGCGTTTCGTGTAAACCGTGCAATGTTTCGTGCAACCGTGTAGCGTTCGTGTACCGTTCGTGCAGCGAGCGTGTGGGGTAGTAGCACGCCTGAGGGCCTGTATATGTATTAATTCTTTAAAAACACAATCGATCTTCTGTTTCTATTATTAATGCGTTTATTTGCAACACTTGTAACTAAACAATGTTCCTGTAAAAAATTGTTATCCACTTAATGCCTTAAGTACCACTGAATATAAGATAACGCGTCGAGCTGTGTTGTCTTTATGTATTAGATTTAAACAACTCCTTAATGTGGCTTTGTGAAAGATTTCCATTGAATTAATGATAAAACGGCAATAATACCCGAGATATTCCGATATTTAGTTAAAGAAACGTTTGAGGTTTCATTAAAGGTAAACATGTAAAAAATTTTGTTGTTTTTTCGATAGCTCGCTCTCAGACAAGATTTTTTCTACATTTGTTTTTTAGTATTTGTGATGAAGGGGAACTTCCTATCTGTTAACCAGTGATATATTAATAAACTGTAAAATTTCAGCTTAGTAAACCACACAAGTCTGGTTCTATTGTAAGGAATAAATTTCAGGACATTTTGACCTTTGATGGAACCTTAAACAATTATTCATGATGTGTACATCTCCTTCTTTTAAATTTCTTTATTAAAAAAATTGAATGAAACTTAAAAGAAAATGATATATTTCTTTGGCGAAGGCAGATAGAAACCTATAGTTTATCATGGTACACTGTTGAGTAAATTGCCTTACACAGGAGGGCTGCTATCTATATGTAACGATTGCGCAGTGATATTTTATGCGCGTGATAATCAGTCATTTAAGACTGATCATAGTCCAGCGAACAGCAAAAAGCTCCAAGTATCAAAAAGATTGGTAAGTGATTTTTTATTAACATTCTTTAGAGAAAATATTTCCTTCAAGTAAGAAAGCGCAAAAATTGGTGGAAAAGGATCCATAATCATGCTTATAAAACGAATTTAAAAAAAGCAATAAATTTTATTTGTTTTGCGAAACGAAACCTTGATTTAGTATCCTAAAGCTTAACTGTCGTCTTATGTAAAATATTAAGTCTCCCTATGTCAACATTAATAAATGATGTTGGAGCAAAAATGTTAAAAGAAAGTAATATGTTACCACTATTAACTGTTGTCAAAAAGAAAAAAAAAATCAAGGGTAACAAAAATTAACAGAATGTAAGAGAAACGTATTGTATTTCTATTTATAAATGATTTTCTCGTGTTTGCTATTGTTGTTATTTTTTGTTATTTCCGGGTCATGACAAGGAGCACACGGCGAGTGTGACAGGTCGGCAGAGGATCTCACCTCTAATGTTTTAATGGTCCGTGTTTGTTCTGCTTCTATTTTGCATTGTTCTATCGACTTTATTTTATCTTAAATACTGTTCGTTATCGTTGTATTTTTTAAGTATATAGTGTATCTTTTGATATTTGATTGACCTCATCCTAAAGATAATTTTTAACGTAGATAAGCTGTCATAAGCCTTGACATATATAATGTAATACTTTATAGAGGAAGAAATTATAAATATTTATTGAAAATATGACTACAACAAAGCTATGATCATGAGCATTTCTGCTAGATATCAAACAAAGTAACAAAATGAAAAAAAAAATGAGTTTAGCTGGTATTTTTACACATTAACCATCAGTTAAAGCTGTAAAAATTTTTGTAACGATTTTAAAACTGCAGGTTTCAACTTGTTCAACGTTTGACCTCAACAATAAACGAAATAAACTGACAACCTTATACCTTATTCTAATAGAAATGTATTATAATCTCTGAAAGAAGAATTAAAATGGAAAAAAGCGCTATACTGGTATTTTGAGGCATTTTAACAGATTTTAAGCAAAACACAAAAAATAACCCCTCTAAATAAATACTGGTTTTTCAAGAGATCATAATACATGTAATACTCAATTATAATCATATATACATGTACTTGTTTAATGATATCAGAAAATGCTCTCATGACTCTCTATTTTGATAAAATTAATTTAATACACTTAAATTATTACATAGAAAAAGTTATAAAAATAGAAAAAGTAACATATTTTAGTTCAAAAGTTCTTTGTAAACATTGTTTTCAGTTGTGTATTGTCGATTGGACATATGCAGGTTATGTATTTTTTCTGCGAAATCTGCGACATTTATTCCTGTACTAAACTAAAAAAGACAAAGACAGTACTCTTTCGATGTATCGGTATTAAAGGCCAAAAATTGAGTCTATGAATTAAATAATGTAGTATATATGTATTCCTGTATATCACCCATTTAATTGATATTATTGTATATTTTTATGCAAGTACATTGGAGGGTAATATGGGGTCTAAAATAAATTGAGAATGATTCAATATCTTTGACCTGCAATAAAACAGTCAAACAAAAATGATTTTTACAATGGAATTGGAGAATCTAGATAGGATAGCAGCATTTTACAGAAACTACAATGCTTTTTTGAAAATATTTATATGCTTAGAATTTTAACTCGGTTTTGCTCTAGCTCTACGGATATATCTTAAGGCAGAACACATAATTATCCGAATTTGGCGAATTTCCACAATTTTGTAAAAATTAACACTAATAAATAAAAAAAAAAAACATGGATAAAAATTGTACTATCATAATCTATATTATAAATTTGAACTGGATTTGCACTACAGTAAATACTCTAACATGACCTTATCATGATGTCTATAAATAGAAGAATGTGTCTTAATAAAAAGTGAAAAGTTTAAACTACCTCAGGAATAATTAATTACTATTTGTATAAATACTTCGGAAAAATAATCTCTGTACCGTGCAAAGTGCTGCTAGAATGAATGCATGGAGATAACGAATACTTTTCAGCCTCAATATCCATTAAACAATACAATATAGAAGCAGATCAAATACAGACCACAGAAACATCAGAGGTGGGATCAGGTGCAATGAAGGAGTGCACATCCCCTGTTGACCGGTCACACCCGCCGTGTGCTCTTTGTCATGATCAGGAAATGACGGGGAAACCCTCGTCAATGCAGTACATGTATCTAAATAATGAATTAAGAATTAGTATGAAAAATGTCAGTCAGCATTTGACAGAATGATAGATTGTATTTGCTGACAAGGTTATTGTATCGACCATAGAACTTAGGAAATTACGACATTAAACACGACTGCTGATATTCTTGTTTCAAATTGCTTGTCAATAATTTATCTCGTTTTAGAAATTGCTTATATGTAGAGCATTATTTTGCGTATCGAATCATGTGAGATATATATATATATACTCCGTATGCAGGTGATGAAGGTACATTGCTGCATAAGGGAAGTTGATGACTGGAAGTTAAAATCACATTTTTGATAAAGCTTGGTTGTTAGATTACCATTAAAACGTCTTCTTCAAGTAGAATATCAAGTATGAAACAGAAGTGTCAGACTCTGTGGTATCTTTTATCTCAAGCTCACAAGGATATATCGTTTCGACGTAAGAATGAAAATTATCATAATTCTTAATTGACAAAAAGTCGTCGATATATCTTAATGGCGAGTTGAAGACCACAGAAAGTGTTTCCTTTCATTGTTTTTCAATCAGAAACTCAAGAATCCTACTCTCCCATTACACAAATAATTATTCAACACTTTCGGATGAAATCTTACCATACAATTTACATTTTGTAAATAAAGATCGAAAAATTGTCATCAATTCCCGTTAATCATACGATTCTAGCAGTACTATCCTAAAGCGAAAAAATTAGAACTTCCGAAAGAAACAAAAATTATATTTCAAATATGCGGCGTAGTGTTTAACTTTTGTATCTTATTTGTTACGAACGACAAAGGAAAGACTGATCAGGAGTTTAATACACTACTTGCTTTAATAATACGAATAAATTATAGAAATATATAAGCATACATTGTTCCTAAGATTGTCATTGTCCTTGGTATTTAACCATCTTGAAAAATACGTAACTATTTATACAACCTACTAACTACAAAATGTATATATTAAAAGATTTTGCGTGTTTCAATTCATTTCTTCGACCTCAATTCTATCTTTAAATAGATTAAAATACATACGTCAATACATTGTAGAATTGAAGAAATCGATACCTCTCAAATTCACCTTATATATGTCATTTAAATTTGATTTTTATCAGATTAGTTGTGTTTTTTATTCCCAACACGTATCGACTTAAGTTGCATAAAAATCATATCCAACTTTAATAATTGGAGATTCTTTTTGTCCTATGTTAAAAACTTCATAATCAATGTTTTACACATTTTGTTATATATAGCAGTTCAACCCATTTTACTTCATTGCGCTAACACAAAACCATTTGTGACGTCACAACTCTGGGAAACAAAAATGATTACACATGAGCTATATGCATGAGATAAAGGGGTAAACATGGGATTAAGTTTACGATGATATCACAATGTATAGGCAAGTGGATAATCTGATTGTAGCCTTAACCCCTTACATGGCATACTGTATACGAATTTCTACGCAACTGACGTGTAAAACAAGTATAGTATTTAAAAAAAAACATTAAATACTTAGCAAATACTGCAAATATCAGAATAAATCTTGCACCATTGGAAAGTTAAAATAATTACGATAAAATAATATACAGATTTTTCTTATTGGTTGTAACGGTTTTTGCTGGCTTGAGTTAAACTTTGAGCACTATTTGAGCGAGGTTGCCATTATCAAAATCTATGCAGGGTACATAAATATGTAAAAATGCTAAATTTTGGTGATTACCTCCAAACCATATCCCATCCCTCAATACTTAAAATCGGTTTGAAAAATTACCATAATATAACCTAATAGTTATATTTATAGGTCATCTCATAATTGCAAGTAAATGTGCTTAAGTTACGTGAATACCGCATCAAGTGACTATCTATATAAAATCTAAATGTCCTCAATATATATTTACCATAATTATAATTATCCGATATAAACAATGTACTCGAAATAATCACCATCCTAATTAAGAATTTTATTTTAATCACAAAAAAGTCGATAGTTTCATTGCACACCTTAAGTGTACTGTGTACACAGACTGAACCCTCTTCTGGTAAATTCGGATAAACCGTACTTGAAAATAAGATCGGTGTGTTTTCGATCTTTTGGAGCTATTTTAATTTGTCAATAGCCCGCATTAGCATTAAGTTTGAAATGACCAGCGGTTTCTTGCTAGCGTATCCATACACTGCTCAATGAGTTGTAAAGGGTACATGTCTTATTCAGGAATATATAGTCCGTGCACCATGAAAATCAGCAGGGGTGCGGTTCACTCGCTACTATAGGGGAGGTTCGTTACCAATGTCATTTCGGTGCTCGATCACAGAGAAAGTCCCGAAGTCAAGGTCTTTACTGCAAAATTTTGAATTAGCTCCTCAGCCAGAGACTTGACGTCCACAGGCCGCTGTGCATAACTACTCCAGAAGTGGGGCTATATATTTGTATTTGTAAAGGAAAATTTCCCGAATCTCTCCTCAATTCGGAAGTCAACTTCACAGACGCTTATCCACTCCCCCCCCCCCCCACACACACACACGGGGAACAGGCCCAAGTTCTTGAGCTCTTCTCACTCCAATGTCAAATGTGAGCAAAGAGACGATCGGGGTCACCCTACTGGTAGCAATCAGCGTTGTGGCAAGGCAATTTGAAAAAAATACGCACTTTGAAACATTTTTCAAAGTACGTTAAAATTGGGACAAAATCAACGCACTTTGAAAAATTTTCAAAGTGCGTAAAAAATTTGGGAGCAAAATAACGCACTTTGAAAAAAAAATCATATTTTAGTCATGGAAAGATTTTATTTGTTATTTATCTTTCAAAAAACTAATCCTAACCCTAA